AAAGTAATTACTTCAGTATACAACTATCAGCTGATTTGTTGTTTTAAAATCCTTGGTTTTTTTCCTACATTAAAAATAATAATGTTTAATCAGAAATAGTAATTTGATAAAGTTGTATTTCTGCTATGCTCAGTGCCAGAAATCCCATCCAAAGTCAATTCCAGTTTCTTCAAGGAAGAAAGAAGCCTCTCTGGAATTCATTGTAGAACCAAGTGAAGCTGCCAGCAGATCAGGTTGGTGGCATCCCCATGGGCGTTATTTGCCTGGATGTATTTAAAAAGTTAGAAATGCCAAAGGTAGCCCATGTGTTGGTTTGAGTGACAAGGTCAGGGTCAGCCCAGGCAGAACTGTGAAATGGATGAGTTTATTTTTGATTTCCCTCTCAGTTCCATGGCTGGTATCCTTTTCCTCTCTTCTTTTACTTCATTTCCTTCAATCAGTAGCATGGGTTGCTACTTCTTAAAGTTTTCTTTCTTTTCATTTTAGAAGAGTACTATTCCATTTGAGGTAATAGAATCAAAGGTTTAAGAGAAAAATTTAATCATTACTCCCATGATTCTGCTGAGAAAACCTTTGAATCTTTCCATGCTTTCATTGGTGCTCATAAATGAAAAAGTACATAAGTGTGTGTGTGGGTATGTCGGTGTCTGTGTGTGCTTTCAGAAGAGGCTGTTACAATTTTCTTTCATACCAACAATGCAAGAGAGTACCTTTTACCTGATAGACAATTACTGTTCTACTTTCCTGCCACTTCATTGGTATTAAGTGATCTCATTGTTATTTTAGTCTCCATTTCCATGATTGCCAATAAGTTCGAGGTTTCTAGCTAGTCTGCCTTCTTCCTTCTAGCTTTCAGAGTCCTATTATTTTGACTGATGTATAGTTTCCAAAGAATTTAGTTGTATTTAGAAGAAGAAGCAGGGAAATGCCATCTCATTCCAGAATTAGAATTGCTTTGTTGTTGTAATTTGAATTTTTACTTTGAATTTTTTTAAGTTTATGAACCAATATGAATACCCAACTATTCTTTTTCTTTGATGTTTGAAGGTTGAGGGTTAAGAACATACATATATTTTTCCTCTTTAAATATACATAGAGAGATGTACACATATACATGCATATAGTATACATATACACACATATGTGTCATTGTATTTATATATCTGTTATATCTATATGTATGTATAAATATGTGATCATCTAGCTGCCTTAGCTTATAGTGCTCATGTATTGTAATTATATATCTTTGATTGCTAAACTTAATGACCTGCAAGTCTTCTGAAAACTATTTCTAATTAAATTATTGCTTTATTTTCTAAGGCTCATTTGATTCTAGTGTTATTCTTTTAATTGACAAATATCTTTATATAATTTTCTTTTAGTTCAAGCCCATGAAGTTTGTCAGAAAAATATGGCAGCTGATGTTGGTTCTAAAAATACACCTGGCTCTAAAAATATGTCAAGTGGAAAACTAAACGATCATCACAGTGAAGCTGATGAAGAATTTTACTTATCTGTTGGCTCGCCTTCTGTTGTTTTGGATGCAAAAACATCTGTATCGCAAAATGCTATTCCATCTATTGCCCAAAAGAGAGAGACTTACACTTTGGAAAATTCAGTAAATACACTGTCTTCAAGTACAGAGATTTCTCTTAAAACCAAAAAAAGGTAATCTTTTAAATAGTATTAGTTCTACTTTAAAAATTTTACATTTTATATTAAAAAGTGGTAATTCAGTCTTTTTATGTAGTTTTGAAGTAAAGATTTATTAACATGTGAGAAAAACAATATACATTTAGTATATGTTCAGTTTCTAATTAATGAGGAAGGCTGTAAAGTGTACTTCAGAGAAGTTTGGAGGTTAACGTTTCTATAGTCTATGGAAAAATGTGTTTTCTTTCTTTTTCCTGAGAGAAACAATTTGTTTTACCTTTATATTATTTGTAATTGCAAGTTAGGTATGTATCAAGTCATTTCTAGGGTAGCAAAGCATAATTATTGGTAATGCGTTGTGGTAAACCCAGTTCCATTTCTTGGGGCTTTACCTTTGGCCTTCAGGAAGCGCAGTAGATTGTTGAGGTTCTTTGCTATTGGAGACCTTTGTAATGAGTGTAATTTCTGTCTACAGACCTATGTCATTCCAGGAGACAAGGAGTTAAGTATAGTCTAAGACTTTACTATTCAAAATTTGGTCTACCACAGTGTTACAAGAGAGCTCTGAAAACCAGCGCTTAGCTATACATTTCCTTGGTGTATAATTTAACCATTCTTTTCTCTTTTATTTTTTCTATTGACGAATACAAAAGTTTCCTGAGCAATTTACCTTTGTATATTTAGAATTTACAAATCAGCATTTACAAATTTTAAATAAAGGCTCAGTGCACAATTTTATA